CTCAAATCTATTCACACCCATTCCGTGAAATCCCTTTTCAATCCCCCGCCCCTTCCTTTCCCCCCCCCCCCCCCTTGTACCCGGCACCCCAGCCATCGCTACTGAAATCTTGATTTTATCCGTACAATTAGCCGAAATTACTCTCGCTAGATTTTTTTTTTGTGCGGTCTCTTTGCCCAAGCAAAGTCTGACATCGAAACTTAAGATTCGAACACCGAAACGTGTTTGGCCTAAATCTAACGGCCGCCTGGGTTGGCCACCACCCGTGATGCTGTTTAATCAAGGGGCTTAAGTCGTACGGTCGTTCCAGATTGTCGTTTTTTTATCAGACGGATTTTGTGGGTTTTTTTAAGGGCTTTCCCACCCCCACCCTCCACCCCCCACATGATTTGAGGGGCGGGACGGGATCTTTGGTGATGAGATCAGGTTTGTCCTGGCGCTGGACACAAGGCGCGTTGTAGACATTTCAAAATCAATCTATTATCAATAAACAATAGTTTACATCGTGCGCCGGTCATAAATCCACGGCACCAGCATTACATCTAAATAGAATTGGGGTGGGGGAGAATGGGGGGGGGGACTAAATTAGTAGGGCCCGGAGGGGGGGTTAATTAGATGGCAAGTTTATTGCACTATGAAAGACCTTTAAAACACAAATACGACATGTCGATGATCAGCAACCGTGGCAAGATATTTTGATTGTTTCCGCATTCGCTTTAAGATATTCGAACATTTCGAGTGTTCAGAATGAGCCAAATAATGCTCATGCTCTTGTTTTCTATGGCCATCTGTTTCTATTCTGCACCCGTCATGCATACGGCCTCCGTCAAGCATACAGCCTCCGTCAATTCATCAACAATATCAGGCGCCAACTTATGATACTAAAGAAATCTCTTCATTAGGAATTAGTGACCCCCCTCCACTCCCCAAAATGTATGTATTTATAAACAATGTGTCAGTCATCCTAGTGCCCCCTACCCTTATACATTACCACCCCCCCCCCAAATGCATTCATCAATAATCTATCGACAGATAATCCAATAAGCCAGGCAACTACAAGTGTAGCTCTTCGCTCCCCTCTCGTTTTTTTTCAAGGAAGTTTTACCATGAAAAACTTGTCTTCGTTTTCTTTCCTTCTTCCACTCCGATCTTTAACACTCCCTTCATCAACCACGCCCCTCCATCAACCACGCCCCTCCATCAACCACGCCCCTCCATCAACCACGCCCCTTCATCAACCACGCCCCTTCATCAACCACGCCCCTCCATCCACCACGCCCCTTCATCAACCACGCCCCTCCATCAACCACGCCCCTCCATCCACCACGCCCCT